TCTGAATGCAAGTCTAGAAGGCGGCTTCGGCAGGTTTGAAAACCTCGCCGCAGGAGGACGCGGTCTCACCCTGGAGCGGAAGGCCCAGCGCTGTGCTGGGCCGTCCCGGGCGTGGCCGCAGGACCTCAGAGCTGTCTGCCCATCATCGACTCTCCAGATGAAACGAGCTCTGGCTGGCGGTTTAACGTATGCTGGGAGGTACGAGAGGGTCACCGAAAAATGGACCGCATTGAACGACTTGATGTGAAGAATAAAATGAAGGCTGTTGTTACCAGGCAGCTAAGACCAACTCCCCAAGTGCCCGATGGCGGAGCTGCGCCCACAGTCAAGCTCTGTGAGCCCCGGGGTCACCTCTCCTCTGACCAGCGGTGGGGACCTGCTGGGGAGCCCCTCAGTGGAACCCTCCAAAGGTGTTTTTCTGGAAGGTGGCGGGAGGGTGGGGGTGACAGGTACGGAAGGCACAGGCAGATCAGTAGAATCGGAATGGTTCTGGGCTCAAGACAACAGAGCGATTCCAGGTGGCCTTATGCCTGGTGCTCAGTGGAAGGAAGGAAGGGAGGGAGGGAGGGAGGGAGGGAGAGAGGAGGGAAGGAAGGAGTCTCTCATTAGCTGGAGATAGAACCGAATGTGCGTGTTCTTGGGCGAGAGGGGGAGGGGACGTGGCTGGGAGGCCCTGGTGAGGGGCGGGGGAGGGGGAGAGAGCGCTGGTGCCTTTGCAGGGTCACCCTGCGTGGCCGTGGCTGTGCAGGCCTGGAGGTGGGAGCGGGACAGGAGAGGGAGACAAAGGCACGATCAGAGAAAGCACTCCATGTTCTGTGGTTTGTATCTCCTCAAATCACCTGATAAGCACCTGTCACTGCCTGACTACAGGCGAGGAGGCGCAGGGACGACTGGCCAGGCGTCTCAGGGTGACTTAGGGCAAGGGGGGCGGGCATGGAAGGTGAGAGAGAGAATCAAGTATGTGCGGGGCTATCTTACCAAAAAAAAAACCCTGCAGTGCGGGTTTGCGGTGGGGGTGGGGCGGGCAGCGGGGCAAGAGGCTGTGGGAGGCGCCCTGGGCAGTTTGGTGGGGGCTCTTAAGCTGCAATGGAGCTGCCTCTGCCCGCTGGTAGCCTCCCGCGGAGCAGAACTTTATCCCTTAACAGCCAGGCCTGCCCTGCGCACATCCGTAAAAAGCCCTCCGAGCGCCGAAGGCCGCTTCTTCGCCCACTGAGTTGAGTTAGTGGTTGACCTTCTGCATGAACCAGCAAAATCCTGCTGAACCTCAATTTCAGGTGGACGTGGCTTTTGCTTCCTCTGCCTCCAGAAGATGCAAGTTTCACAGCTCTTCTTTTTCCCTGGATCAAGTTCCGATCTCAAGTCGATGGCGGCTTTGCCCACGGTGGGAACTAAGTGAAAGCAACACTCATGTCTTGGGTCCCAGCGATCAGCCGTCGGCTGGACATGGTGAGGGGCTCTGCCTTTCCTGCGAACGCGGCACAGACAGCTCCCGGGGCGCCTCGCGCGGGGTCCCAGGAGCCCCGCCCCGCCCCGCCCTCCGCCTCCCCAGGCGCAAAGTGCGTGGAGCGCTTGCTGCCCCCGCGCATCTGCTCCGCAGCCCGCGCCCAGCCCCGCATCTCCTTTTAGTCACCCTAACCTCCTTCCACGTGTTATTTCCGGCTCCTTTCTGCTCACGCTCAAGCCACAGACACGCCCTCTGCCCACGGCCTCGCCTCCTCCTTCCAGCAGCAGATCCAACGTTCCCAACCGGGCGTCTCCCCTGCCTCAGCTTCTGTCTTGGTCCTCCGATGTGCCCCCCCGCCCCCCACGCACCTTGCCTTAGGCCTCCCTCCGAGGAGAGCCCGCTCCTCCCACTCCCTCCTCCTCCCGGCCTGAGGCGTCTACCAGCCAGGGAACCCCGTGCCTTCACATGCGTGCCCGTGTGCCTTGATCCGCAGAGAACAGCAGCTGGGCCCTGTCCTGGGCCGGGCTGGCCCAGGCACGTGCATGCCATGCAGCCCCAGGAACTGAGCCAGGGGCGCCCTCATCACCCTGCCTTCTTAGGAGTGAAGCCGCATGGGGTCTGCGGAGTCGGGGCGCTGGGGGCCGGCGGGCCTCTTCCCTTCGCGTGACAGGAAGGGAGAGGAAGGGCTGCGAAGGCAGAGGAGGCTCGTTGCATAGGAACCGTCCACCCAACCCCGGTGCGTGCCTTCTCTCTCTCTCTCTCTCTCTCTCTCTCTCTCTCTCTGTCCCTTGTTCGTTTGATGCAGAAGGAGAAGGAGCGTCTCCCCCAGGCTTCCTGTGGCCTCCCTGTCCCTCCAGCACCTACTGAAATCTGGCCTGTCCACTGTGAGGTTGGGCGGGGGGGGATTTGTCTCACAGCAGCCCCCACAGCCCAGGGCCCGAGCATGTGGGGCAAGGTCCCCTTGTTTTTATGCATCTGAGCATTTTCAGTGATTCCAAGGTGACAGGGCTAGGAACCAGGGCCCTGGGAAGAGAGATCTCCGCGAAAAGTCTACCGTAAGGGCTCATTTCAGCAGTCGCCTTTCTCCCTTTATCCAAGAAAAGCGGCACATTTCTTGACAAAGATCAAAGACTAGAAACAAATCTGAACCGCACAGGCCTGGCTGTAGGTCCAGCCTAGGAACAAAGTTGGTCATCAACGTTTCTGTTTGGGACAGAAAGGCCAGTGGGCGGGCACCAGGGGGCTGGTGGGTACAGCAGCGAGTGGCAGGTTTTCAGAAACGACGCTGTGCAGATTTTGTTTGAGTTTCTCACTGTTACACGCGGACCCCTCTGGGTTTGTGAAGCTAAAGAGGAGAAAACTCCCAAGAGTCTGCGAAGCCAGCCCGGCCTGCGAATTCCAAATCCAACACCGTGGGGTCCAAGTTTTCCAACAGCGTGGAAACCAAGCCGCCCACAGTGGGGAGAGCCGGAGGGGCCCCATTAGGAAGGAAGGAATTGAAGAAAAGAATGAAAGGAACGGGGTTGGGGGTGCCCAGACGAGAGGTCCAGTGGGGAGTGGCAGGGAAGGAAGGGGAATGGCAGCTTCGGTCAGGCTGGCGGCTGGACGCGGAGCGGGGGACGCGGCCGCGCGCGAGAGTGACAGGTAGGTTGCGTCTCCAGGAAGGGGGGCAAGCGGGCGGGAGGTCCCGCAAACCCCAGGCAGCGCGGCCGCGGCGGCGGGGGGAGCGGGGAGCGCGCGGAGCGGGAGGCGGCTGCGGCAGGCGAGCCGGGCGCGCAGTCTCCCAGGCCGGCCCCGAAGCCACTCGCCCGCCGCGCTCCGGGCGCCTCCCCTGCCTCGGACGCGCCGCCGCGGCCAGGCATCCCCGCTGCCTGGTCTGGGGAGCTCCTGCCGGAGGGGAGTGGCGGAGTCGAGCTGCGGCTGTCCCGGGGCGCGCTTCGTCGCGGCGGCGCGGGGACGAGACCCGGGCATGAGCCGCGGAGGGCGGCGCGGGCTCTGACGCTGGTTGGGCAGCCGCTGCCGGCCGCCGGCTGCGCGATGAGCAAGCCCGCGGAGACGCCCTAGCCGGGTGCACGCGCCGGGCGGAGCGCGCAGGTGGGGCTGCGCCCTCCGCGGTGCGCCCCGCGCGGGTCCCCAGCTGCCCGGAGGATGGGTGCCAGCGCCCGGGGGCCGCGCCCTCAGCGGCTGCCTCCGCGCCCGCCGCGAGCCCGGAGTCCTGCCGGCGCCCTGCGATCATGTACGTAGGCTGGGCGCCCAGCCCCAGGGTGAGGGTACACGTTGTGTGTCCGCTCCCGGGGCGCCGTTCAGCCCCCGTGCCGCTGGGGGGAAGCTTCCCCCTCCCCCAGCTGGTAAATATGGGTGATTCGCCCGGGGCTGAGGTCCTCCGGGCCTGGGCTGGGAGTGAGCGGAGGACGCAGATGACCCGGTGAGGGGGAGGGAGACACACGGAGCTCGCTCATTTGGGGGGGGGGGGGTCGGAAGGGGAGGTGGAGGGTGGCTGGGTAGCCTGCACCCTGCGGTATCTTGGGATCTCTGGACCCCTTTGGGCTGCAGAAACTTTGGGATCTAGAAAGGCTAAGGGGGCAGCGGCAGGGAGAGGGGCTGGCGACCGCCCTGCGCCCCCGTCCCCAGCTGCCTCCACCGCAAACTTTAGCGTCCCGACCCCCCTCCTGGGTAGAGAGTAATTAGGAGGCAGAGCGCCTCGGCCCGCGCGGGGTCTGCTCTCGGCGCCCCAGTCGCGGAGCAGCGGGCTGGGCGCTGCGGCCAGTGCGGAACCGGGTCTTCGGAATCCCCCCACCCTCCCGGGCAGCGGCGGTCAGGGACGCGCTCGCGGGCAGGGCGCCGGGGGAGGAGGCGGGAAGCGGCGTCTGCTCCCCGTACTGGAAGCGTTTGCAAAGTTGTTGGAAATGAACCACGGGGTCCTCGCAGCTTTTGTGTAACCCCCTGCGGTCCCTGGGGTGGGGTTGGTCGGGGGGTCCTGCTTGGCTCCCTGCACGGTCGTGCGTGTCCAGCTCCACAGCGGCATCCTCCATTTGGTAACTTTTGGGAATACGCGGCCAGGGCCCAGGGAGGGGCACCCTGCGAACCCGAGTTCCGTGGCCACCCTCGAGCGCGCCGGCGGGGGCCGTGGGGGCTGCGGCCCGGCCGGCGGCTTCCCCGCGGCCCCGCCAGCTGCCCTAGGCCGTCTCGGCCGCCCGTCACGACTGCGGGAGAGACACCGCGGCGGGCGCTTCCCTGGAACTTCGCCTCCGCGCCTGGTCCCGCGAGCAGGGATGCCCAGGGAGCCCGGCGGGGCGCGGACGCCGGGCCGGCGGCCCCCGCCCGCGCGGCCCCGCTCGGCCCTCGGAGCGCTGCGGGAGCCGGGCGGCGCGGGCCGGGCGGGGGCCGGGGCGCGCGCGGGCCGCGGGGCTCAGCTGTGCTGCTGTTCTCTCCACAGGGACGGCGGCTCCCGGCTGGCGGCGGCGCGCCCCCGGGCTGTGAATGCGACTCGCCCCTCGGCCGCGCTCCCCGCCCGCCCGCCCGCCGGGACGTGGTAGGGACGCCCGGCTGCACTGCGATGGCAGTTGGCGCGCTGTCCAGTTCCCTCCTGGTCACCTGCTGCCTGATGGTGGCTCTGTGCAGCCCGAGCATCCCGCTGGAGAAGCTGGCCCAGGCGCCGGAGCAGCCGAGCCAGGAGAAGCGCGAGCACGCGTCTCGGGACGGCCCCGGGCGGGTGAGCGAGCTCGGGCGCCCGGCGAGGGACGAAGGCGGCGGCGGCCGGGACTGGAAGAGCAAGGGCGGCCGCGGGCTCGCCAGCCGCGAGGCGTGGAGCAAGCAGAAGCAGGCCTGGGCCGCCTCGGGCGCGGTCGCCAAGGCCGGGGACCTGCAGGTCCGGCCCCGCGGGGACACCCCGCAGGAGGAGCCCCCGGCCGCCGCCCAGGACGCGGCCGGCCCAGACCCCGCGCCTGCGACGGAGCCGCCCGAGGAGTACGCGTACCCGGACTACCGCGGCAAGGGCTGCGTGGACGAGAGCGGCTTCGTGTACGCCATCGGGGAGAAGTTCGCGCCCGGCCCGTCGGCCTGCCCGTGCCTGTGCACCGAGGAGGGGCCGCTGTGCGCGCAGCCCGAGTGCCCGCGGCTGCACCCGCGCTGCGTCCACGTCGACACCAGCCAGTGCTGCCCGCAGTGCAAGGAGAGGCGCAACTACTGCGAATTCCGGGGCAAGACTTACCAGACGCTGGAGGAGTTCGTGGTAAGGGGCGCGGGCGTGCGGGGCGACTTGGCCCCTCCCGGAGCCGGGATGGGGGGTTGTGGGTTTGCTCGGAGCGCTGTGTGCCCCCGCTGCCGAGAACGGGCGCCCTCGGCGCTCCAGCGGAGGCAGTGCCGGGCCTGGACCCCCTAACACCACCCCCAGCTTCGGTGCAGCGGCAACCTCCGGAGCCACGGGGCCCCCTGGCGTGCATCCCTTTTGCCTGCCCTGTGGAAGGGCTTCCTTGGCGGGAGCCCTGCCGGCTCCGGAGGGGCAGGCCCGACCGCTGTTGGCTGTGCTTCTGGCAGGATGTCCTGCCTGCTCCTCCGGGAGAAGTGTTGTCTTTGAAATGCCCAACCGGCTTTTGGACACAGGGTGACTTGCCCTGCCATTTGGGACACATTTCTTAAGCTAATAGCCAGTCAAGAGAGGTGGTGCATATAAATAAGCCATTTCCCCAGAGTATGTGTTGGGGGACCACGCACATAGTCTAAAAATTAGAAGAAAATGCTTGCTCATTGGATGCCAGAACCCAGTGGTCAGCAAAAACAAGAAGCCAGTTCAGGGGTAAAGAAATGTTGTGTTTTATAGGAGCGCTAGTAAAAACACCACCGGTGGCGGCCGGCTCCCAAATGCCAGCTGTGTGTCTGGCTCCCGGCGGCTTCTCGAACCTCCGTTGGCCGAGTTACCCCTCAGAGCACGCTATCGGCTATTTTCTGGTGTCTCCGCTTCATGGCGAAGAGGAAACCGAGACACAGAATGTTTGAGTAACACGTCGCAGGCAACGCGGCTCCCCGGAAACAGCCGCACGCGTCCAGCGCAGCGGGTCCGCCCTGGGGCCTGTGCGTTCGCCCCCGGCGCGCTGCTGGAACCAGAAGCCAGTGGGCAGGGGGGCGCTGGCCCCGCGGGCGCTCAGGGAGGCCTGGCTCTCTCCACTGGCGGGCCTGGGAGGCACCCATGTGCTCTCCATCCATTCCGACCCCCCAAGGCAGGCTCACCCCGAGGCCCGCCTGGGCTTGGCCTGGGTGCACTGACTCGGAACGCCGGAGGTTTGCTGGGCTGCAGGAGGCTTCCTGGGACCTAGAGCCCCCAGAGCCGAGCAGGAAAGGCCGGGTGGGTGTGGGGGGATCCGGCTGGAGTCCCCCGGGACGGAGCCACTGAGCAATGGAGACTCAGGGCGTCCCCAGGGAGTGAGTGGACGTCCGGAGATTTGGGATTGGAGTCCCGAGCGCTGTAGAAACAGAGAGCCAGGAGGGCGGAGCGCCAGGCAACGCACGAAGTGTAGAGAGAAACCCCAGGATCAGCGCCAGGAAACGTGGGTCTCCCTTCTGGCTTTGCCACTGGCCAGCTGCGTCCCCTCTGGGTTTCTTTTCTCCCCCTGGTGAGACAAGGGCCCGCGCCCCCTCGGCTCACGGGAGCCGACGCCACCACTGCTAATCCTCACAGTCCGGGCCTTGGCCCTTGGAGAACCCAGGAAACTTCAGTGAGAAACGCCCGGGAGCCAGGCCCCAGCCCCACCCCAGAGTGAGCCAGGCCGCGCCCCCAGGTGCGTTGGGTGCTGCCCGGCAGCGCGGAGGCTGGGACGGGGCTGTGGGCGCGGACCCACCGAAGCTCTCCTCTTGAGATCTGGGTTCCCAAGAAAATCTAAGTGTTGTAAGATCGAAGACAAGTGGTTAGTTTTTGGTTATTAACACGCGTTATTGCTCAGTATGGAGTTGCATAGCCCTTTCACGAAAGGGTCCCATGAGGAAGGCTGAGGTATGATTAGGGTTTTGATCCGCAACGTCCAAACACATCGCAGAGCCGGCATTTGTGTCCCTGAACCTCGGCTGGAAGGATGACGTCAGACCCTGTTCCGGAACTCACTGCCAAGCGTGGGTCGCCCTGCGGCTGCCTTTGGGTTCGCGGCGGGGGCCTCTTACTTGGCTCTGGTTTTCGAAACCTAGTCACCAAGTGGAATGCGCGTCCACCTCTGGAGGTGAGAGATGACAGGTGACAGCAGCGAAGGAGAGGCTGCAACGAACACAATCTTGGGAAGGATTAAAGGACCCGTTTTAGAGCATTACCTGCATCTTTCCCCTTCCAGTGACTCTTTGCTCTTCACTTCCGCCCAGTCGTTTCCGGCCACGAGTCTGCCCCCGGGCAGGAAAGTCGCACGGCAGCTGTGGCCGTCTACCTGTGAGGCGGCTCCTGCCGTGCACACAGCCACGCGGCAGTTTCAGTTCTGTTAGCGTCGGGGAGACGTCCGCACGTTTCCCTAGTTCCATGGGGCTCTCTGTCCATCCGCCAGTGCCGCTGTTTTGGTTTCCTTCCACATCAAGAGAGGATGCTTTCTTCGGGGTGTCAGAGGGAGGAATGGAGGAAGGGCCTAGGCCAGGGGTGTCCAACCCTCAGCCTGCGGGCTGCATGCAGCCCAGGGTGGCTGTGAACGTGGCCCAACACAACATCGTGAACTTACTTAAAACATTGTGAGATGTTTTTGTAATGATATGTTGCAATGTATTTAACGTGTGGCCCAAGACAACTGTTCTCCTTCCAGTGTGGCCCAGAGACGCCCAAAGGTTGGACACTCCCGGGGGGTCAGCCGAAAGCCCAAGGGGTCTGCGAGGTGCACATATGGAGAACTGAGCGCCAGGGCACAGCTGCTGTTCCCGTGCCCGCTCGGGGGATCCTGGGCTGCGGAAGGGGAAGTCGGAGCCTGCGGTTCGCAGAGCGCGGCACGCGTGGAAAATGAACAGGGGGTGCGTTCGCCGCCCAAAACGTCAGCGGGGGTACAGCCGGGTCAGGCTGGGCACACTGTGTCCCCTAGCAAGGAAGGAGAGGCGAGGGAAGCACAGTGGCGCTTGGAGAGTTTGTTTTCTGCGTCCCGAGAGAGGAGGTCCTGACGGGCGCCGGGTGCCCGCTGCGGGGCTGCAGGGAGAAGCAGACCGAACGCCAGGTTCCCCGCCTGGGGCCCGGGAGGCGCCCTTGGTCCGTCCCTGCCTTCTCGCGCTTCTTTCCGTGGGCCTGTGTCGACTGCTGCCTGCTCTGCCCAGGTTTCTCTGCATGTCACGCCTGCCTCCCGCTCCCCCGCCATCTCTCCCTGTCCCTTACCCCACCGAAGCTCCCGTTTCTTACAGCCCGAGGAGCTTGGCCAGATGTGAGCAGGAGACCTCCCTCATTGCTTCAGCAGAACACCATTCAGCTGCTAATGGCGATTACAGTAATATCCTCATTCATCCAGGATGTTTGCAATTTAGTTTGTTTATCTGAATAAGGACGCAGTTACCAGTAGAATTTCCTCCCCTGCCCCTCAGATTGACCAAGTGTCCTGTTCTTCGGCTCCTCCCTGCAGGCGTCCAAGCTCGGAATAGGCAAGTCTGTCTGTTGTTTCTCTTGCTTATAATTGAAATGATTCCATTTGGACCAACAAAGGACACTGTTCCTCTCGTGGGCGCCCCGACCCCCTGGGGGATGGTGACCGTAGAACTGGGGTCTGCAGGCTTGTCTCGCTGTTTTGTACCCGTGGAGGTTGCGTGAACCCCTGAGATGGGACGCACAGGAGAACCAAGGCTGCGGGCAGCGGCTGCTGTTGGCCGGCTGATGCCCATCCGGACAGTGCGTCCGCACTGGCCACCGCAGCCGGTCAGGAGCTCTGATCGGCCATGGGACGAGCCATTGAAGGAAAAGGAAAAAATGAATGATGAATGAGGGCAGGACAGAGCTTGAGGACTGCTGGCCTGCGGCGGCGGGAGGCCGCGCAGCAGGAGAAACGCGTTGAGCCCCCTGAGTCCGGCGGCCGCCCACCGGCCTTCAGCGTCGACTTGTGACCGACACTGTTGCGAAGTCGCGTTTCTAGAAGTGTAATAATGAATAAAACCTTACGTGGAATTTGGATGCAAAAGATCCATCTAAATGCATCTCTGTTGCCATTATGATGCAGTGCCTGTGAAGAGGAAGACGCGATTCTTCACGTTTTCAAAGCAGTGGAGTTTACAGTCTGTTGGCTGATGGTTCTTCACATAAAGCAGAGCTGCCGTCGCTGAGCTTTGCCGCATCACACGGACCCAGCTGCGCGCAGCTGATGTTCTTTTCATCGTCAGCCTGGTGCTTGCGCTGCCGCTGCCCCCGCGTCGGCTCGGGTTCCCAGTGAGAGTCGGCAAGCCCTGGACCCCTCGGGCGGCTTCCCTGGACCTTCCGCCCAGGTCCCTAACTCGGTGGGGGAACCACAACCTGCCTGACTGCGTGGGCATGCTCCACGCAGCATGGATCGGCCGACATGGTGGAGGAAACGCCGTGACATTTGACCTTTCATAATGGGAAGAAGGAAACCAATGCTCACTCAGCGCCTGTATGCTTTGCAGATCCTCTTGGTGATTTACACAACAGACCGATGAGGTGGTATTTTATTTTAAAAGAGAGAAAACTAAGGTTCAAGTCGGTTAAGTAATCGAATCGAAGTCATCGAGCTGGTCAGCGGTGGAGCTGGGATGGGAGGCCTGGCCCGGTGGGCTCTGAGGTGGTGCCCTTCCAACCGTCCCGCCTTGTCTCCGTGACCGCAGGGTGACGAAGCGGCATTCTCCGCGTGTGGCCCGGGGACTCTCCAGTGCATGGAGAAGGGAAAGCCGTGCAGGCTGGGAGCACCTGCCTGCGCTCACGCGCAGTACCTGCCGGACGGGTTTGGTGAGGTGTCAGCGCGTGTGGACTGTCTGTCCCAAGCCGTGCAGGACGGTGGGCGATCCATGCCCTTCACGGCGGGGCGTCTTGAGCTGCGGTAAGAACCGAAGCTTTTGTGCCGTCAGCTCCCAGAGGGCACGGTGAGTGACCCCTATGGGCAGCAGATGGGACATCGGTCTCCAGGCGTGGCCAAGGCCTTGGTGATCCACAGGCCCATGGGGCAGACACGTGGCCAGAGAGCTGGCTCCCACCCAAGGCAGCGCTCTGCTTGGCGCCCAGCACAGAAGCATCGGTTTGACGAGTGCAGATATTTGCCAAAGGAGAGGTTTGCACAAATACCCAGGTTG